TCTTTGTGAAAAATCTTAAACATAAAGGTCCAAATTAAAAAAAAAGTTAAAAGTGTTTTTATACTATACCGTGATTAGGTTTAGTGAAGCCCAAAGAGCTACAATACCAGCAAAACTCAAACCAATAAGACCTAATCGATCTTCAGACTTATCCCACTGTAAAAATTTACAATACCAAGAAAGTTATGTATGTGTGTATGGAGTAAAGAGCAAGCAATTGATGATTTTTAGGGTTTTTGAGACTTACAACATTTTGAATCGAACTAACGACATTGAGATCAGTCGATGAATCTGAATTTTCACCACTAGCTTTAACCATAAGAGCGATGCTACGGTTTCGTTTCTCTACAAGTAAAGCTCGAAATTAAAGAAGCTTTAATCTCCGATTAGACAAGAAAAAAAGGATCAACCTTTACCTCGAATTAGAGAAAATGGTAGTTTCTGAATTGATGTGAGATTGGGTTTTCTCTGAGTAAGTAACAATGGAGGAGGCAAAGTTGCAGAAATTGAAGCCATTTGTTGTAACCTGAAAACACGAACCAGAGCAACAAAAACAAGTAAAAATTGATAATTTAGAGATTTTTCTCAATAGAAGAAGAAACAAAAAATTTGATTCGATATTTGGTTAATGGATTTAGAGATAGCCTTATCTTGTTATAATCCACGTGTCATTTGATAAATGGAATAAGAAATCTCAGAGATGAAAACCATTACGCCACGTGTCAAAACAAGATCCATCCATGAGTGAAACAAGATTCTCTTAAGGAATACAAATTACAAATTCACTCACTTACTTTGGCAACAACAAAGAAGAAGAGAAGTCTCTATTGATTGTGTTGATCGGAGAAAAAAAAATGGCAACTTTTGCAACCATCGCCGCCGTTCAACCTTCCTCCGCCGTGAAAGGACTCGGCGGAAGCTCTCTCGCCGGAGCTAAGCTCTTCATTAAGCCTTCTCGCCAAAGCTTCAAACCCAAATCCACAAGGTAAAGTTAAAACCTTTAAAACAAATTTAGAATCTTGAAATGTGATTGATACTTATTTGGTGGGTTTTGTATAGAGCTGGTGCTGTGGTGGCTAAGTATGGAGACAAAAGTGTATACTTTGATTTAGAAGATTTGGGTAACACAACAGGACAATGGGATTTGTATGGTTCTGATGCTCCTTCTCCTTATAACCCACTTCAGGTTTTTCAAAAACTCTCTAAATGCTTCTTCAAATTTTGA